CACACACTCTCACACACACACACGGACAGACACACACCTCAGCATCGCCCCGGAACATGGAGGAGAGCGCGTTGACATTGCGGAGATCTTCCTCCAGCTGGGAGATGAGTCCCTTCTGCTCCTGCAGGGTCTGCGCAGCCTCCTGGTAGTCCTCCTGCAGCTTCCGGACCTGGTCTGGGGAGGTCAAGGTCACCGGCAGAGGTCAGAGGTTAGAGGTCAAAGGTTAACGGTTACATGTCTTCCTTTTAAGAATCTAGGTGTTTTTTTGTTTGTTTGTTTTAGTAGAGGTTTTATGGCGCTCACAACTGCATACGGTCATATGAGCGCCAAGGGATGGATGTCAACAGAGAAGTCCGTACAGGGAATCAGGCTTACTCTGCTCACCTCTCTAGCTTCAACAGCCCAAAGTCTGCTTCGACTATCATGACACCCCGGAAATAGCAGGTCACAAGAGTGTGACAAACATATAAAAGAAGTAGAGGAAAATGACGATAGTATAAGTAAGGATTAGGAAAGAAAAAGCAGCAGTTCCCCGTTGTAGTTCAGGCGCAGTTATGAGCATGACATTGTTGGATGAGCCCATTTACAATTCTACTGTGCATAAGACCGAAAAATGTCCCCCCTTTTGGGAAAGGCCTAAAGACACTTCAGTCAGGGGCTCCGCAGGTGTTCTAACACCCGCCCTATCGACACAATAATTTACATCATTAACGTTCCTTATTTGTTTGATCAGAAAGACGATGACTGTCCTTTTGTGCATGAAAAAAGCAATACAGATAGACGGAAACAAGACAGGATTTATGAAATATTGGTGTTTTTACGCCGCCACCGACACAGTTTAGAATAAAATTAAATGTTCTTGTTTGTTGGAGTACGAAGTACGAAGTACGAAGTACGAAAGAGAATCACCAACGCAGTGGGACAATATGAAGATCTACTGACCACAGTGAAGAGACGAAAACTAAAATGGTATGGGCATGTCACAAGATCAACAGGACTTGCCAAAACAACCCTGCAAGGAACCGTACAAGGAAAGAGAAAGAGAGGAAGGCAGAGAAGGAGATGGGAGGACAACATTACAGTGTGGACAGGACAGACGATGGGTGACAATCTGAGGAGAGCAGAGGACAAAAATAGATGGCGAGAGCTGGTTTTCCAATGCAGTGGTGCCCCAACGGTTGCCGCAACCACGGGATCGAAGAGGAAGAAGAAGAAAGACGGGCTGGGTCGAACAAACAAACAAACAAACAGACAAACAAAAAGGGGGATAGAAAGAGAGGAAAGAAGAAAAGAAAAGAAGTATGTTCTACCAGTGGTTCCATTAAACGAACGCAGGTTAGCGGTAGATGCCGTCTATTGCGGTTAGAAATAAGAGCCGTTCACATATAGAGGTTAAAGTTCAGTATCCCATGCTATAGACAGTGAACGATCTTGTCAGTTTGATAGTGTTTGAGCGCGTGAAATCCGCAGTAGCTTGCACTGTATGCTTCCGCGGAAGCTGAGAATGTTTCTGAGTGTTGTCAGAGGGTCTGCTGGGGTAATAATAGTTGTAAAGCGCATAGAGCATGCTCTTGAGCATGGATATGCGCTATATAAATGCAATTATTGTTACTATCAACACTTTTTACGAGTTATGGATTTATAATTTGTAGAAATAAAAGAAGTTAGTGCCCCCCCCCTTCCAAAATATAACAAAAATAAAAATCGACACAATAAGATCATTTATGAGGTTGGTCCTTTTTATTTTCAATTTTAGTAAGGTGTTTTTGAAAATTTACTATATTTTTGGGTAAGAATTCTATGGCACTTGCAACATTAGGTGATATAAGATTTGTTACTAAAGAGTAACATTTTACTAACATACACAGAAAAGCAGGAGAAGATGTTCTTGGAGACTTTAGCAAAAAAACACCAAAAAAACGAAAACAAAAAACCGTCAACAAAGCGAGGTGTGTTGACTTTCTAAAAGGATTATTACACGAATCAGTTCAAACTGACAGTTGCCTGAATATTTGAGGTATACATGGTGCAATCTTGGAAAAATTACTTTATTTTTTGTGTTCTTCGAAATTCAGTTGGGAAATAAGTCACCTCGGAGTCATTATTTTATTAATTTTATTACGGTGGTCCGAATTTGATACCATTTTTACAATAGGATGTAGGCCTACTATTCGATGTCACAAAGTACTATATCTGGCGAACAGGATTAATGCTACAGCAAATCCTACAAACAGCTCTCTCGAAAAAGTTATGAAACCACTCTAGATTTGTGGACAGATGCTTTGTTGTGGAGGAAGATTACCCCCAGATCCCAGAATATCGGGTCAGTATTTGTATATTTATTTATTTATTTATTTATTTATTTATTTATTTATTTTTTGCGAATGGCTGGCCTTAAGTATTACTTGTCTGTTGTATCCACCTTTGACAATGGCGTCAAATGGAATTGGCCAACACAAAACTATGCCTGTATTGTCAAAGAACACAATTTGCATGACTTTACGATGATTTCTCTGCGTTTTCTTTGACAATAAATTTAAAAGCACAATTTTGTGTTGGCCAGATCATGTAAACAACAACTGAATAGCTCTCGGCAAAAATCACACACTGTGCTACGAAGGATACATACTATGTGAGACAGCGTGGTGGAATCAGGCTCTCGTCAATTTGTGGGCATATTGAGTTATTGATATCATCTTAAAGCTTATTCATTTGTCTTGCTTTCAATGAAAAAATTAGCCATCCATCTTCATCGAAGTGGGGATATTTTGGGTTGAAGGAGGTGAGGGTCACCTGATTTAAGAGGTAAAATTAGCCAGAAAATGGCCGCCCAAGCTTGGTAAATTCCAAAGCTGGAGAGTCCATGGACACCGTAAATTTATATTTTTGTGCCTTTAATCAACGTTTTCGGTGAAATCCTCAAAGGAATGTGTTTATAAATGGACATAAAATGTGTTGAGCCAAAAAACAAAAATTTGATAAAAACCGCTAAGCAGGGAGAAAACTGCTGTTTTCTTCGATTTCATTATTTTGACGAGAGCCTGATTCCACCACGCTGCCTCACATAAGTGCCATCTCATTGCAACCCGTTTGGGCATGAAACAGCTGATTCCTTAGCAAAAGAAATATATTCCTTTAGATATGAACGAATTTTTTTTTTTATTCCTCCTCAGTTTTTTTTAGCGCCATTATCATAGTTTTACTCTAGGACACGTGCTGAGCATTTTTGACAGGTCTTAAGTCAGGTCCAAATAGTACGGTTACTGCAACTTTTCGCACCGAGATTATAAAAACTTTCTTATACGCCATCATAAAATTTCCGAGTTCTGAGTGAAATGTTTTGAAGTTACAGAGTGAATGGTACTATGGAACACGAGTACTGTGATAATAGTGCTATTAGAAATTCGGGGCGCAATATATGTCAAATATTTCCTAAACTGTCGAACATAGACCTCCATCTTTTGCACACTGACTTGTATCAAAGTGTCTTAACAGATCAGTAGGTTTGTAAACACCTGTTAGCTGTATTCTAGAAAATTCCACAATAGATACTAATTTCAATTTTAAAAGTCCAAGTGGGTGGTTTCTGAAAGGTGGGGTTTTTTGTTTTGCTTTGTTTGTTTTTTTTTTTTTGTTTTACTAATCACAACATTATGCTTATTGAAAGCATGTTTTTGTGGACTTTTGTGCAAAAAAAGTGTTCTCTACCAAATACATTTCTTATAACTAGTTTTGCCACAAAAAGTGTCATTGGTGAGCTGAGACGCAGACCGCATGATGCAAAAGGTGTGGGAAAATCGGGAAGAGCTGAGAACAATCCCATTTTTCGTGCGACTAAGATTTATAGTATTTAATATAAATTTATTGCAGAAAGGTTGGTTATTTTTATACCAAATATGGGGTTGCTTTTGCATTACACTTCCGGTGAAATAAATCCTTATATTTCACATGCGAAATATAATAATCATAAATTACTCCGCACACTATATTCGCCGTCTAACCTTCTGTAAGCTAAATATAGACCCAATTCACAATATTCCTAGAATCTTAGAACGTGCAATGTTATGGCGGCTGCTCTTTGCATTTTGTAACCAAACAAAAATCGCATAAAAGCGCGCTCACTATAGGCGCTCAAACGAAGTGCCAAACTGCAGTTCCCCTATATAGTTGCGAATACGCTAACCTCTTTGCTTTACCCTTATTAATAATTTATTTATTTTGTTCCATATTAAGTTAAATCGTGCGCGCCATTGTGAACCGGGATTGGCCTACGTCAGAGTGCGGTGTAGTTTGTTTTGACTTTTGACAGCGGAGTTTAAAATCAAAATTATCTCTATTCTAACGACAACATGTCATACAAATATGCTGTTTTATTTATTTTTCAACTTTTGAATCGTACGTTTTAGGTTTGCTTTGTTTCTATGCTTACGTTATTATTTTGTTTGGGGTTTATTTCGCAGAGGGAAACATACAGATAGCACATCTTGTAAATTAGCGTGGTTAAAAACAAAGAAAACAAAATCCAGATTGTTTTCCAATCCTCTGTCTGACTCCGACGGGCATGGGAATTTATTGTTATTTGTGATACTCTTGAATGGATCCTCTTGTCCACTTGACTGGTCATTTGAACTTTGTTGGTTTGGATCTGTTCCGCCAGCTGACGTGAGTATGGTATAAACAAAAATGTTACACTCGTTGTGGTGGTTGACTCTGATTTGTCCTACTTGTGAAATTGTCAGTTGTACTCATTTGTTTAAACTCGTGACTACAATTTGGCATTTCACTCGTAGGATTAAATTGATTAAATCATGATCTACTGCCACCATCATCATCATTGCATTTCTCATCCTGCACCAGGGTATAGGCCATGGACAAACACTTTCCACCTTTCTCTATCCTGGGCTAGCCTCTTGTCTTCCCACTTTTCTGTACACCGATTTCTGTAATTCTTCTCCAGGTTCCGCTTGGTCTTCCCCTTGATCTCTTAGTCTTACCCTGTGGATTCCAATCCAAAACTTTTTGGGTTATGCAGCTGCCTGACTTTCTGAGAGTATGTCCAATCCATCGCCACCGACTTCTTCCTACCTCACCTCTGACTGGGATCTGTCTTGTTTTCCTTAACACTTCCTCGTTGGTGACCCTGTCTGGTCTGTCCATCTGATCCTCGGTAACTTTCTTAGACACTTGTTCAAGAAAACCTGGATCCTCTTTATGCAAGTCTGTGATGCGTTCCATGTCTCACATCCATACAACAGGACTGACTTAACA